GTTATGACTTTAGAATGTGATCGCGGCGATGTCGGCGAACTCGGCGACTTTGCGTTTTTCGCCGAGAATTTTCACATTCCACTGTCATAACTGTATGGCATTGTCATAACTGTAGTAAAACCCTACAAACTACTTCAGCATAAAGATTTGGATGAAAAAATTTACACAGGGTTTGTAGCGGTCGTCTGCTAGCAGCAGAGAGAAAATTATTGTTTTATCAAGTTATTAGTCTCGCCAGTGCGGGCGATGCTCGCTTCAAACTGCATATGGGAGGAAAAAATATGGCGTATTCAGTGCGAGGGAGGTGTCTAACGTGATTTTTGGAGGAATCACGGGGCAACTTTGGAGGAGCCGATTTTATCGCCTGAGTATGCATGTTGGAGGGTTAATAACTCCGCGAATATTATAGAGTTCTCTAAAAATATGTTTAGAGAGAAGGTTGTAGAAGAACAAGTTTTCAGTAAAAGTGCCTAATTGACAGCCGAACTTGAGAAATCTGTCAATAAGGGCGAGCATGCGCCCTTATATCTCTGCGAGTTGCAGGGCTGGGCTAATGTCATGTGGTCAGTGACATGTGATTATGATAGTTCTATTTTTTTAGGGGTAGCTTGTGCCTAGATGCAGCTATTTTTTCAGGGTGGCTGCAAGCTTTTGGCCAGCACTGTATTAGGTTGGCTCGAAACTTCTCGGACATTTTTAGACGGGATCTGCTATTTTTCGAAACTTATTGCATGTACATCTGGAAGAGGTATCATTCGATAGAGCAAAGCAAGCTCTACTAGATGGTATGCAGAAGTTCGCACCAGCTTCGAGCCAGCGTATGTTTGCATCCAGAATCAGAGTCGTACTAAAGGTTCGAAAAATTGGGAAAAATTCTTATCCTCAAATCTTATCCTATCCTTCTTATCCTTATCCTTGATTCCACCCATGTAATTGTATAGTACAGGCCCTTAGAAGTATAACCGTAAATTTTCAGCTTTCTACAGCCCATAGTCGCCGAAAATTACCAAATTGAGCTCTCCTCACTCGGATGTTCCATGCTGAAATCAATATTTTTCGAAAACTAGGGCTTGCGAACTCAGAATTTACTGTTGTACTTCTAAGGGCTTCTTGTAGTATACAATACATGGGTGGAAACAATACACTTCGTTTTTGTACGAGCATGAAAATTTTCTCGCTTCTAAATGAGAAAAATACAGCAATGATACATACGGATGGACAGGAGATGTCCATTCGAAACCGTGGTGGGCGTTGCATCGCACGTGTGCGAAATTATAACTTTATAGCAGAAGCGTGAACTCCGCTCAGAAAGTTGGAAGAATTACGCCCTTGTTAGACACCGTGTCCATCTGCGATTTCTTGCCCTGCAATAGAGTGTGCATCCCGGTACAGCTGAGGTCATAGGGTCTCACAACGAATGTTCTCCGCCTTATCGGCAATTGTTTCACTGATACTAATTCGAGATTTAAAGCTTTAAAAATACCGCTTCTGTTGTCTTCTCATACTCCTGTGGATTTCGGATCAGAGTAAGCCCAGGTAAGCGACAAGATTTGATTGGTCCCTTGCCTGGGCATTAGCATCAAGTAAGGCACAAGGCCAAAAAGGCTGACCTGTGAAAAGTTGGTTAAAATATTAGGTCGTTCCGAAAGTAATGTCGCTTTTTTCAAACGTATGCCACATCTCGTGGAACAAAGATGTGTAAGAGATTCTGGTAGCATTTAATGCAGCATTTCATTCTCTTTCTAATGGTTATGAAGTTGTTGCAATACAGTCAATGAGCTTCCAGAAAGGAGTCAAAGTCTGCGACCTATGCTTTTTAAGATGGCCAAGTTTCACAATTTTTCTAAAATTTTATAACAAACCTTAGAAGGAGCCCAGGTAATGGATGGATGGAGCAAACCCTACAGGAAACAGCACAGCTTTTTTCTACTTTCCAGAGCTCGTCATAATTTTTGTACAGATTTTTTGATGGAACCACCGAATTTTAGCAGTCTCGTCTCAGACACAAGTGCATCAAACGCCAACAAGTCTTCGGATTTTGAAACTTATAAAGGTGGATTATGGTTTGGCAACAATTTTAAAGCCAAATGAGCATTCACCGCTTCGGTTTAGCAAAATTTCGGGTACACCCTGGAGTGCCTTGGAAAAGTTAAATTATGATGATTTTATCTCGGAAAACTTAATGAATCGGAAACCAAAAACAATTGATAAAAAGAGGAGAAAAAGCTGCATCGAATGACACCCGAGTCGCTTGCCGTTTGTTATTCTGTGAGGTTTGACTTGACTAAATATGGAATCTGATGGCATTGAGAAATTGATTGTAGAAACTCTGAGAAGCAAGCTAAGGAAAAGAAAAAATTAAGCTGTGTTCTATAGTGTTTGCTCTGTCTACCTGCCACTTGTACTTTTTTGGAGATAAGGTATAAAAATTTAGAAAAATAGCCGAACTTGACCATGGCAAAAAGCATGAGTCGCAGATTTTGGTAATTTTTCGAGAACTCATTAAACATTATGCAGTGAAATTAGAACCATTAGAAAGAGGATGAAATGCTGCATCGAATGCTCTTAGGATCTCTTGAAAATGTTGATTCCACGAATAGTGGCGTTCATTCGAAAAAAGCGACATTACTTTTGGAACGACCTAATATATTATATTCCTGGTGAGTTTCATGCCATTCGTTAGCGCAATACCCTACAATAGATATTTGAAGCTGGTTACATTTCTCTCCTTGCAGTAGAGTGGATCTCCTAGGAATGGAGGCGTACCGTCAACCAAGCATCCAAAAAACATTTTGGGATGCTTCTCAACACATTGTACAGAAATTTATACTTTGATAGAACTTCAAGATTTTGATTGTTTACAAGTATTAAGTTGGCTCGAAAGTTCTGGGACATTTTTAGACGAGGTCTGCTAATTCTCGAAACTTAACGCATGTACATCCGACAGAGATACCATTCGATAGAGCAAGCAAGCTCTGCAAGATGGTATGCAAAAGCTGTAAAATTTTCTCGTTTCTAAATGAGAAAAAAATACAGCAATGATACGTATGGATGGACAGTAGATGTCCAATCGAAACTGTGGTGGAAAAACAACTCTCGTACCACTTCTACTTCAGAAAAATTCTGACATTTTCAAGAAAGCCTTGTCCAAGATCGATGTTTTTGAATTACTTCCGCTACGAGACGTCAAATGATAATGTCTACATCCATCCGACTACTTTTTACTTCCTTTCTTTCTGATTTCTTCAATGGTATTTTTTAGCCCTGTTTTTTCCCTTTCTGGTTGTCTTTATAAATTCTAGCACCTTGTCTTTTTTGCCTTTAGTTTCTGCTCAGGTCGTACTAGACCTGTTGACTCTGCGTGGTCACCTTGTTTAGTTGAGACCCGGCTACCATATGTGTGTTCTTGTGAGTGGACTTAGCAAGTTCTAAACGGCATACACGAGTTAGTGCAGGCACGTGTTTCGAGTTGCCACATCAACCACTCTTTAGTCATCCTTCGTAAGGCTGCTCTCCCTCCCCCCACCAGGATGGCGGTGGCCGTATGGTGGGGGTGATGCGAAGGTTTGGTGAACGGGTATACTGGTGGCCCCCCGCCAGCGTACCCGTATGAATATGTCGGCGGGGGCTGCCGGCATATCTGTTTGCCGGACTTCTGCTCCCACTCCCACTGTTTGTCCACTTTCATGTCTGTTGGCTGGCGAGAGTTAGTAGACGAACCAATCTCTTTCTTGAAATAACACTTCGGTAGTATGTCTTTTAAGCTTATCGCTGGTCCCATCCATTTGTTGTAGCTTGATGTGCTGGTCATACAAAGACATTCGGTGGTTTTTTTGTTTCCTTTTGTTTACTACTTCTTTTTCATTGCGCTCTAATTAGTACCCTCGTGTTATGCTGTTTTTGTGGGATTGATAGCACGCCGAAGTGCGTATGAACAGATAAATAAATAAATAAATAAATAAATTCGCCTTTGCCACTTTCGACTTTCATGATTTCCCACTTGATCGCGAGATGTTCAAATCGGATTCTTTTTTTTCCGGCTGCTATTCCGGATCCTGAAAAGGGCAGGGGAGGGATTTTGAAACCAAAATGTTAGTGTATGGTGAACTTTGGATGCAGAACAGATTTACGTAAAAACCATGAGAAATTTTTGCGAACGAAATGTTTTGCCAGCCTCACTTGCCACCCGATAGTGGCAACACAATCAGTTCACAAAATTATGCCTATCTTCGAAATCAATAGAAGTTGAACTTTCTACGAAATAACACACCCTGAGCACTTAGTACCCTAATTTCACGCGTACAAGGCGCGGGGTGGTCCTAGCTTTCAACGAGCTGCTCAGCCGCCCCAACGTGTTTTAAGAAGCGATCCTTATGCCGCACGATTCGTCAGGCAAAACGCAGCACGGTATGGGGTTCCTTTGGTTGCGAAGTCCTTTGCCGTGTTCGGGCTGGTCGATGAAAGCTAGGACCACCCCGCGCCTTGTACGGGGGTCATCCAATAGACGTGAAAGGGGGAGGCCGTTTCTAAAGTTGTGTGCCTGACTTTAGCTTAACCTGGTTTCAACCTTTATGTACTTGTGTTTATACCATGGATGTTTTTATTGGATAGCCATCGTATTCAGATAGGATCATCAAAATACTGTCGTAGCGATGCTCGCGGTCATTAGCCAGTTGTGAAAACTGCTGGCTGAATACTACTCAAAATAAACTCTGAGAATATAAAAAGAATAGAATATAGAATATAGAAATAAAATATAGAATATAGAATATCATTCTTCATTACTTTCGTACTCCTTCTTTCTGTTATTTATAATAGTCACATTCCACGATAGATGTAAATTTATAGGAATACTTGTTGATCGAGGTGATCATTCAGAACTGAAATCTATGCCAGAGGCTGAGGAGTTTGGCTAAAGCAAGTTTAAGTTCTCCAAATCAATTCGTTTGAACCTCGAACGTGGGCAATGGTGAAGTTGAGAGTTCCACTATGCGTAGAAGTCAAAGTACAATTTATTTACATATGAGAGAAAATGTTCATTTATCAATAAAGTGATCATATTCGTGTTGTTTAGAGTCCGGCCAAGGGTCGCTGTAAATAAATTTTGAATGGACTTCTAGATAGGTAAAAAATAAGGAAGCAATAAATAAAAGTGACAGCGTAGAGTTGGAAATCAAAATTGTTGAAACTCACTTTCGCCCGGCAAACGTCAAGTGCCGAATGTTTTTCGGTTTCTCTTCTGGTATTACAAAGTGAACAGCAATTCCTATGGCTATCATTATAAAGAAGCCAAGTCCACCATAGGAATATGTTGATATTCTGGACAAAACCTTTCTTATCGTTTACTCCCAAACTATGCAAAATAAACTCATGCTAACCTCGATATGTACATTGCTTCTTGATTCCCATAGTGAGCATCATATGAAGGTAATTGTCTTACGGTATAATTCTGTGATTCGCATCCAGTCACGCTGCAAATGGATGGAGAAAGTTTTGCAGAAGTCAAGATAAGGCATTTTTGTACCTAGAGTTTGTTGGTAGGAAATAGTCACGGTAGGGGTCTTCAATATAATTAGCCATACAGATTGCAACCATAATAATGTTGGAGACCACAAAAGAGATCAAACAACTCCAAAATCCTGTTTTAGGAAAGAACATAGCCAGCACGAAAATAGCTACCATTGGCCCTGATATAGCGCCCATGACACTTATGGTTACCTGAAAAAATAATAGCCCTACATTCGCCACACAAAAGAAAGCATTTAGTTTTTACCCTGAGTATTCCACCGAGTGACTCTGCTGAAAATGCTAGGGCTGTGGATACAACTCCTCCGAGAACGACAATGGCCTAGATTTCATATTCACTCCAACTCATATTGCCGTGAGGTGTAAACAAAAACAAAAACCTTGTTTACAAGAGTAGCCTGATGGTCAGTGATCCGCCCATCCATTGAAGTTTTTATGAAGTCTTCATATACTGCCGCTGCCATGCTATTCATTCCGCTAGACAAGGTCGATAGGGTTGCAGACATTATGCAGGAGATATATAGTCCAAAAAGACCTGGGGTCGGCTCTAGAATGACGAAAACTGTACATAGGTGCATCATGCGGGAGATAGAGGAGAAACTTTGCGAATTTAAATCTATCTTTAGAGTGTCCTAGATTGAAGAACGTTATAAACGAATATTATTCATTGGGATTGTGTCAATTCATAGCCGTCAAGAAAGTAATAACAACATGGAAGTATGCGCCCCTTACTACCGGGTAAATAACAGATTTGTTTGTGGTGTTACGGCTTTGCTAAGCTGGGAAAAACCGAGCCAATCCCCTAGACCAACAAATTTAACTGGAACGGTCAAACTAGAGCAGGGCTCGGCAGAGCTTGCACCGGGTCAAGCTGAATATCGCTTTTGGGACAAGAAGGGGATATCGTTTTTTGTGGTCCAAAGAACATAAAAATTGAGACTTTTTTAGTTGACGTTTCTTTTTTTTGTGGGTTTCTCACGTTCAGGGTTTAGAGTCAAGGGGACTTCGTATGAAATTTTCAAGATCAAAAAGACTTCGTTTTGAAATTTCCCTGGTGCCAGCTCTTGCCGAGCCCTGAACTGGAGTGATATGAAAGTTTTGAAGCGGCAATATGCGACTGACCCAGCAAGTTTCTGTTAAGATCAGAACACTCAAATGCCATTAGAACGATGTATTAAGTTAATGCCAAATTATTGTGTCCTAATCCTGCCGCCGTAGGGAAATGTAAAAATGTATGGGACATATCATTTGATAGAGCAGGGCAAGTTTCACAAGAATATATCTGAATAAGCAAAAGATTCACTCTCACTGAATTTTAGAGGAAGAACCTAGTAAATTTAATTATCCCAAAACCACATTTTCGTCTAAAGAGAAATTGCAACTTCCATGTCACGCACATACTATACACATCAGTCATATGTACACCTGCACTAATTTTTAAAAAGGAAAAGAATAGGCCAATAATGAAATTGTATGGATATGAAAATGGATATGGGGGTGTGAATAGGGATATGGATATGGATATGTGTGATCTATACAGAATTCCTCCACAAAAGAATCCTTATATTGACGCAGAGTCCCCTAAGAAAACTCGAAACTAGTTCCCGTGGAAGCCAGGTGAATCACAAAAACTCACGTAAAACATCTTTTGCAAATATAATGGTTAGATGATCTGTTTCAGTGATTTGACCAGTCTCAATAGGGTTGCAGTTGTAGAAATATGCCAATGCAATGAATCCAATGAAAGCGACTGCAGAGCAGAGGATAGTGAAGGGAGCAAGCGTCCAATAGATAATTTGCTGAAAAGGACCAATTGGATGTTTGCAAAAGCAATCAAACAAGATCTGACTCTCAGGACAATGAAGTACCTGGGCTTGTTTTAGGTTGGGAAGACTCGCATAACGTTGCATCGCCAACTGATTCACACCAAACCACGCCAACCAAGTGATGGTACCTGACACGACGTTGATCCAAACGCTGCTATACTAAAGTGCTAGCCTCAGAGTTTGTCTGTGAACTGGCAAGGAATCTTAGAGGATTGCTAAGTTATCAAGTCACAAAAATTCTGTCTCATCAATTTGAAAAACATGACTTGTTCAGCGCAGTGAGTGATAGGTTGTCCCGAAAGTAAACTCCTTTTTCAAATAATTTAAGCTGTTCTTGTTTCCCTAGTATGCAGTAGGAGATCATTCGATAGAGCAGATCAACCTCTACAAAACGACCACCGAAGATCCCTTTAAGTCGCACTCCATATAAGAAGATTGAAAATAGATTTTGTCACCTAACTGGATTTCTGCGAGGAAAACCCCTACGGATCTCCAACGTGGTTATTATATAGTGGGTACGTAGTGGTATTTGAATATGCTTTTACTGGATTTTTTCCGCGCATAGAAAGCAAAAAAATAAGATAGCCCAAAATGACAAACTCCGCCCCCAGCCTCTGCCACATATGTCATTGTATACTACAAGCCTTACTAAATATACACTTGAACTATCACTCCTGCATGTGCTCTTATACTCGAGAAATACCAACTTTTAGAAAAAAAACGAAATTGGCATTTTGGCAATTTTGGACCTTGGCCTTTGGTGGGCTTTTTGTAGAGCTTGCTCCGCTCTTTCGAACGGTACCCTAAATCTGTCAGGAAAACAAAAAGTTCAAGTTATTTGTAAATGGAGTTTACTTTTGGGACAACCTAATAATTTGCATGTTTCTAATAGATATTTGAAAGGGGAAATCATGCATTTCGTTATCGTTTGGGCAGTTTTCTCCTTGATACAAGTGTCAGAGGCCGAAGTCAAATGAGAAAGTTGCTTGAATTTCGATTTGTGGAATAAGTTTGCCAATTGCTTGATAGAGATTCAACAGTTGATAACAAGTCCTTCAATCCACTTTACATGAAGTAAAAAAAAGTGAAGAGTTTTACTTTCTGACAATTTTCTGAAGATGACGCATAAAGTATTTGTGACAAACCTATTATTCAGAGGACAATTTTGCGAAAAGTAATACCAAAATTATTCACCGCAAAAAAAGCGCAAGGAACATGCTGTAGGTGGTTGTTCAAAATCAGAGCGATTGTCGAGGTACTCAGCACTTACACGAAAAAGGGATAGCACTTCCGCTACAAAGCTATATTAGGTTTTCATAAACAAAAGCTCATGCAAAGATTATTTATTTCACTGCCGGAGCTTTACGAGACAACGACCCACCTGATCTAGTCTTGGATCAAATCTAAACAGCTCTGATGTTCTTCCGCTCTCCATCGCTATCGTCCACACCCTTTCAATACCGCCAACTCTGGGATTTCTAAGCCCTTGTACTATTAGCACGACTACTCCACTGTACATGAGGATTGCCTAAATTTTCTCAAATTCGCTTTGCTAAGAGAAATTGCTGTAAATACTATAGATTGAAATAACAAGCACTACCTGCAATGAATCGCTCCATACAACTGCTTTCAAGCCGCCAATGCAGGTATAAAGTGTGGTACAAAGACCAAATATCTTCAAAGAAACGTTGCAATAGCTTTCTTGGCCTCAAACTCTCATGAATTACGTTCATAAACTTACCAGAATTAGCCACCACTTCGGAATGTGGAGTACTGGAGATAAAGCAACAGCAGGGGCATAAATCACTATGGACAGATAGATCACCGTAAGTGAAAGAAATAAGAAAGAAAACAGTTGACGAATAAGTGTCGAGTTGTACCTAAAGCTCTGACGTATCAAGATTTCAAATGAATCTTACCATGATTGCTACAGTCCTTCTGAAGTGAAGGCGCTTTCCATAAAAAATTGTGAAAATTCCTTTAAGAAGAATTAATGTTTTTCAAATTTACTAATAAAAAATGAAATCAGGTTACATCTTGTAAATCTTTTAGCTATTCTTCTAGCTAATTCCGGAGTCCGTAAAATTAGTGGTTTCCCAATTTTTCGATAACTTTTTGTGGAAAGCGTGCAACTTGACATCCAAAGTTCGCCTAAAGTGCTCCAACGCAAAGTGCAGCACCATCAATTTACAGTCGTCGTCTTTCTTTACCTGTTTAAATTATGCGTTGGATTATTGATCTTCGAGCTAATTATTTGCTAAACTAAATACTAAAGTAACGCTCGAAAAAAGAATCTTATGCATTACATTCATTTGAACTCTCTTCAGTAGTTGGAAAGTTCATAGAACAAAAATGACGTTAGGACTCACGAGTATCTGAGTTAAAACGAGTTATAAACCTTTTATCTACCACGGTCTTTTCAGCAAAACAAAAAAAACTCTGAAATCACTTAGAGGCAATGTTTCGGCAGAATTTCTTTTTCCAGATTTCACCTTTTCGGAGACTTCTCGCCATAACGAACCCATATGTGGGCTTTTCAGCGCGTGATAATGGCGAAAACTAGTTTTTCGGAGCTTTCCAGGTCCAAATTCAGTGGAGAATGCACGCAAGTGGGCGAGGCCCGGAACGAGGGAGGCGGGGCGCGAAAGGCTTACGACGTATCTTCGGTGGTGGACCTGAAAAGCTTTGGAAAAAGCTCATATTTGCGATTTTCATGCTCTGAAAAGCCCAGATATGGATTCCTCATGGCCAAAGGGTTCCGGAAAGGTGGAAAACTGGAAAGAGAAAATCTGCCGAGAACTGCCTCTAATCCTTGGTGTCAAATCAAGACCGCGATTTTTTAATGATATAAAATATCATCTGTGCTGCTGATTTAGAAACTGCAGAGAAGTGTTTCGCGAGTGATTCAATTCACGAGTCCACCCTTTCCTCGGAATAAGAGGTATTAGTAAATGATTACAAAATCTGTACTTATATAAAGCCGACACACTTTCACTAATTGCGTGAAAAAAATAAGCTTTGGAGACTTGAGAGTGTAACATAACTCAACGTACCTGTGTATAAAATACTCGTGTAAGCATGTGCATTTCATTTTGTGGAAGATTGGCAGAAATACAAGGCAAGTGATTAGAAAGGCCAACACGCCAGTGACAAAATTCACCCAAATTTGAGCACCTGCAAAACACAAAGTCGTTTTTCTGATGATTTGCATGTGATTGAAAATATTTCTATATCACTTTAACCTTGATTCAACTGGCTTGTGGCTGGAAGGCGAGACTTTGTGATCTAATTAAAGCCGCTCGCGCACGTTACGCAGTCTGCGTCTCTCTCGCGGGCGTGCTCTCTGATCATTATTTAGCCTTATTTAGGTCACGAAGTCCCGTCTTCCAGCCGCCAAGCTATTTGAATCAAAGGGTAATAACTTCTCACAAATCTGTTTACCTTTCTCGAACATCTCTGCTGGCATTGCGAGCATGAGGATTCCTGAGAGAAACGTTGTCAAAAGCGAAAGGGCGACTGGAACAGGGGGCATCTTGCGCCCTCCCATGAGGTATTCATCTTTTGCCGTTGTCTTTACCGAGCCATCTCGAAGCAGAAAGTGGCTTCTGAAATGCGTCAGGGCTGTTTTTTTTCATTCTAGTAGATTTTACTGCATTTCTCTCCTTGTATATAGAGCACCTTAGATTTACAATTTTTTTATGCATGTCGCTGGTCAGCACGCACTATTCTTGGACATGTCAACTGGTTGTGACAATAAATAAGAGGCAAAAAGTTGGTTAAAATATTTAATGAGGAGAAGAGCACAATTTCAAGAGATTGTGGTGTTATTCTGCAGACATTTCCAGGGAACCGGCCCGGTGGACATCTGCACTTGGATGCGCAAAGGCTACTATCGTTACCTTATACAAAACTCTTCTTCTACACTACATCATTTTTAGCAGAACATCTAGCCTAAAAAAAATCTCGTTTTGGCATGAAAATCCTCATAAAAACTTTCCAGTTGTTCTTTAGAGCTGGCAAACCCGGCCCCGCCCGGTCCTGTCAATAATGTATTCGAATCAGCATGTTCACTTACCACCTCCCCACCCTGCACACCCTGCACAACCTGCACACCCTGCACAACCTGCACCCGAATGTGCACAAACACACAAACGATTTTCTGCTTTATATATATAGAGATTTAGTGAAAAGTAGTGCAAAGCTCTATCCATCACATATTTATTCAAAATTCTAAATTATCAGGAAGGGACAGTTATGCCTCAACATGTATAAAATTCCGAAAGCTTAAATCTGCAACTTTCAAAGCTTCGTTTTCACGCTCTCATGGATGTAGAGAACAATTTGGTATTCGAATACAGATAAGTTTTCCCGATTTATTAATAGAAATCGTGACCTGCCGTTTCAAAATTCTTTGACTCAAAACAAATTCTTTTATATGTATTTGCGCACAATGAAAAATTGGAATTTCTCACTTCTTTGTTGATTTATTTCATTGCAAAATAAATTCTACTCGAACAGATTTTATGTCGCAATTCTCTTTGAAGTGTTCTTTCCAGCGGTACCTAATACTGGACAAAAAATTGTCTGCACATCTGTAAAAGCCGGAAACCGACCGAAATATTTATTATCCAACCTAATGAAATCATTAGAGTTGATTATGTCCTTTGCAAGCTGCCAGACGCTTTACTAGACGCAGATAAATTATATCATTCTACCTAGATTTACGGGCGATTTTTTTCAACCACTCATTTGAAACCTTGATAGAAGTCTTAAAATACGAGCAACATAACTGTAATGAAATTGAGCTACAATAATCCGCTTGATAGGAGGAGTGTAATGAAAATGCAAGGGTTTTCAGTCGATCCGAATCTATCATTTCCTCAAAGTACTGCGATAAGAAAAAGAGTGAATTAATTTTGATGCTTGTCAACAATTATCGAAAAACTTTCTCGTGCTCAAATCTCAATCATTTCAGAAAAACGCGAGCTCAAAATCTCAATTCTTTTGAACTCTGCATCCACTTGTTCACATCGGAGTAGAGATCAAAGTGCATAGATTGGTGGACTTACTGCAGTTAGGTTTTTGCTATAACATGCTGCAGTATGATCAAAAGACTTTAAGCCGATCAATTGCATTGCTTATACATTCAAATGATTTAGGATAATATAATAGATTAGCTAATTAAAATTTTTGTTTACTTGTTCTGTCATAGAAATGTTGCAAACAAATTTCCGACTAATGCTTGGTATCTCTGGAAAGACATGCCAGTGAGAAACAGCAGGTACTTTCCGTGGTTTGAGCAGAAATGCTATTTCAATGGAAGAATGTGCAGAAAAGTAAGATATCCCAATTTTCCGGTGGGTAGCAAATTTGGGAAGATTTCGTATTTCAAATTTAAAAAATTTTAAACAGCAGTTCACGATTTTCAGTGTTTTTCGGTGAGAACTTATGTGTTACCAACTACCATTACACGTCTGTACATCCTAATGGAGAATTTTGAAATATCGATGTGTGACAGTAGAAGCTGGAAACCTGTTCGCAAAAAAATAGTTGAACAACAACAAGCTGTTTTTTATGTACATGTCAAAAAATTCTTTAGCAAGTCTGATAAACTGACTGAACCACACAGAAGAATAGAGAGGAGAGATCTCAAAAGACTACTTACCTTATGGCATGGTACACGCCTGTTCCTAATGATAGGCACAGGCTAAGACCGAATACAGCATAGTCTACCCAAGATAAAGACTTGTTTTCCATCAGACGCAATGATCGGAGCCTAAATGACGCAGACATAGCATTTACTGTAGGAAAAATCATGACTTTTAATAAAGCGCTAAGCGTCTGTATTTTTGTGCGTGTGTGTGTGTGTGTCTGTCTGTCACGAAATTATAGAAAGAGCTGCAGCGAAGCTATCGAGCTACAGTTTTGCATAACATATCGCACCAGCATGTAGGTTCACCATGCACAAAGACGAGCCGGTTCGATAAGCCGGTCCTTCAAAATTTGCGCGTCAAACGGGTCCACGCTGCTTTTGGCACGCAAAAATAGATCCCTAATTCGACTCTTTGCAAAGTCATGATGTGCTTGACAAATAAATCTGCGCCTCACGAATTTCAGCCTAAAAAGTGCTCAAGAAATTGTTTTTCTGCGAAAACAGCGTCAAAAAGTGTTGATTGCGTAGAGAGTCAATTTGGCAAGGTTTTATCTCGAAATATAAAATGATTTTTGCACAGAAATGCAGCTCAAAGTGACTATCATTCTTATGACGACTATCAAGCCAAAACAGATTCGGTAATCCGTTCGCAGGTGTTCCTCTGCTGAAAAGTTTTTTTTCTCAAAATTGCCGATCTTACGTGGAGTTGCTTCAAGAATTAACAGTTGTTTACGATTCATTTGTGATGCTGAGCATCGCATGGTGAGTTTCAAAGTCATCATTATGCGAACACGATAAAGGCATACGGATAGGAGAGCCAGTGCGAACCTCAGCAAAGCGGAGGTGACGCAGTGGTAATCAAATAAATGGCAGCTTTTGGAAACAACGGCAAACACGGGATTACAGTGCGATTTCGACTTGAAAACACCAACAGGAAAAGTGCATATTGTCCGCGACGCTCGTAGATTAAATCGGAACCGGAATGGTGGAATCAAGGAGAGGCAACCTACATCATTTTTGGAATTATGAAATTTTAGACTAATAAGGCTTTTGTAGTGGCTACTTTGGCTTTTTTGATGATGTTATCATTTTCGATTATCGGAGAAATGCTGAGTGTAATAGCAGTAATGCCGCAGTTAGTGTGTTCGTATGATCTCACGCTGCACAGGTGTCACACTACGTCCGAGGGAAACAAACAATCGTATCAGACAAAAAATTTTTTTCTCGAATTTTTTTTGGCATTAATGGGCGTTCACATTTGCGGATATGAAGAGATAAAGATGGCCCGCTTCTTCTCCTTTCGATTATTTTTGTAGCCCTTTGCACAAACCATATAGACTCAAAACTGGGTAAGGCCAGAACTCAATGCTAGAATTTATTTATCACTTCCTTACATGCATGCTAGAAAGAAAGCTGGCTTCGTACAGGGTCCCTTGAAATAATAGCGCTATAATAAATAGATTCCTCAGGTTTTAGCTTTCGCCAACTAGTGCATTACCAACTAAGCTAAGTATTCTATTCCAAAGTTCTACGCAAGATCAAGGCTGGCTCAGTGCCAAAATACGCCAAGTGAAAGGTGAGCCAACGATTGCTGTTGAAAAGATCAGGATAATTCAATTCCGAGGTTGACTCTACTTGGTACAGCTGTGAGTATAAAAGACTATAGTGATTCTTAAATGAGGAAAGTCAGATTCGAAACGGTGGGAATTCTGCATTCATGTGGTGCTAAGAATGTCAAAACTGCTACAGTTAGACAAACAATTGAAGGAAAGTGGAAGAAGCGCGCAAACAAACACAAACAATGCAAATAAATGATTTTATCCTAAGTAAGAAATGTCTTCTTGCTGCCAAATGGTGTGTCGAATTCCACACCACAGATTGCAATCTTTTTTTTGAGGTTTGAACGAAAGTTCTGTAGCACCATTTTCAAAAATAAATAGCTTATTGATTACTGAACGAATTTGTGCTCTTAATCCATGGAAGAACAAACCATGCGCTGTATATCTACATGTCCAAATAAGCACACATTTCGTAACTAGTAGAGGTGGAAGAAAATCACTCAAATTGCTTTTCCTGTTTGGTCAATATGAAAGTTGCAATAAAAATCGGAACAGTAGTATTATGATTTTTTGACCTGTATCGTTCAAATGAGCCAATTCGTGCATTGAAGTCTCTGTAAAAAGTTATGATGCCTGAGCAACAGTACAAGAATGCGAACTTGATTTTTTGGCTTTTTTCTCTAAGAACATAACTTTTCATGGAGGCATCTAATCAACACAGATATTGCTCACTTGAAGCAGAGAGCCTCATACTGACTGCTCTGATTTTTATTCCAACTTTCAGTCTTTTCTGAGCAAACACAGGAAAATAAAAATTTGAATTTTGCCTATCTCCACTATCTACGAAAAATATGCGTATTAGAAAAACTGCTACATTTATGTATTTAAATAGCATGTCTTCTTCTTTCAAACAAGATTAAGAGCATGCAAATTTGTCCAGTAATCAAGAAATTATGTATTTTTGAGAATTTTCTACAAAACTTTCGTCTTAACCTAGTATTACGAAGTCGGTTTGAATTTTGAAATTTTTTCTAAGTTTCACAGCAATTCAAAGTGATTTTTACGCAATTACTGTAAAGCCGTAATTACACTTTAATGCGTACATTATTATGGATATAGAGGATGTAAATATAAATTGGATGAAAACTATGTGCGATGCAGTGTTCTATATGCAGTAGTCGATTGTTAGCCTGGGAACGGACGCAGGAGTTCCTAGCACCTCTGTTCGCACCGGCATTCACACCCCGGGCAAGGTGCGAGGAGCCTTCTGGCCAGAAGTCTCCTCGCACCTTCGCGCAACAGAGGTCAAACCCCGCCCCCCGCTCCACTCCTTCACTGGTCTCATTCAAAGGCTGCGGGCTGGGGGAATAGCATAGGCATGCAACGAATATATTTTTGATTCGAAACTGTGTTTTGTGTAGAAAATGCGTTGTTAAGTTGATTTTCACTGCAAAGGATTTTTCACAGTTTTTGTTTCTGCATTACTATAGATTTCTTTGATTCAAGAACTTTTGCATCAACCTTTATAGTAGGTCAGAATCGTTTTGGCATGCTAACAGAAAAGTTAAAATTTCAGCGGATATGCAGCCAAAATCAAGTGCAAAAGTATCAACAAATCTCTCCAGAAAAAGCTCTTTCTTATTATTTCATTATTATGAAAAACACCGAACATGAATTCAAAAAAAAAAGAATTCAGTATTGAAAACCATTCAAACTCTATAAAAAAGTTGTTGGAAATGATGAGAAGCTCAAATTATTCGGTTGATAAGTCAAGATCTAGCTTCAAAACTGTTCTAAACCGCAATAAGTCAAATTTCGGATAGATTCTGTGGTTTTGATTCTATAGACCACAGTAAGCTCTACAAGGTAGTGTTTTGAAAAGTTGCATCATATTTGATCTACGCGAATTTATAGCCAAAAGACTAGAAAAATCCACTGCCCGAAATCCGAAAAAATTAGAAACTCCATCAAAAATTGCACTTGTGCAACTTGCTCAATAGATAGTTTTCACATCAGAGGTATCTACCTATGTACACATTCTCTGGCTGAAAATCGAGAAAGCGAAAGTATCTTCGCTTCCGACAAAGCGATGCTCACAAGTAAACTTCATAACTTCTCATCTGTCACCTTCCATCCGTCATTATTCATCCATCTAACAGAACACATTGGGACTATTCTCCAAGCCTGCACAACTCGGAATAAGATTAGCTAGTGGGCGGAGCAAGTGGGCGGAGCCGTCTAAAAGGTGTGAAGGCCCCTTGGAGGTGCTAACTACCCCTGCAAGGAAAGGCGGCGAGACTTTGGGAACTCCTGGGCCGCCGCCGTTAGCCTGACCCTTATGTCCTTCACCACAATAAATACTTCCTCTGGGCATGTCCGCCCATTTCACTGGAGACTAGATCCTGTTTACAGGTACTGTAGAAGGAAACAAAAGTAGTTTTAGGCAACTGTAGAAAAAGCATTTGTATTTTTGACACCTTGAAATTCTGAAAGAAGCTATATTTACATTCAATGTAAAACAATTGAGCATTCTATGGCCGTATCAATGGAACCTGTTGATTAGCTAGCCAAGGAGGGCGTGCAGGAGTTCCTACCACCTTTCCCCGTACCACAATTGGCACCAGCATCGCCCCCAGGAGGATTCTAGCACCTTCGCGCCTCAGAGGTCAGGACCCGCCTATTGCTCCAGCTACTATTTTTTTTTACTGTAAGCAAAGCTAGTGCAATGATCACTGATGTAGAAGTATCAAAGAAAGAAGAAGAGAATCGATCGAGCTGCAGCTCAGGTAAGGAAATATCTTCACTAATTATACCTTCTAAAATCGTTGAATTTATACATTTGAATTTTGCTGAAGATGAGGTTTCTACTATATAGATACTCCCTGATAGAAATACACAACTTTTAACATTTTTTCTATGAGCAACCTATTACACGAAGTTTTTACAGAAGGAAGTTCTGGTTGAACTACGACAACTTAGGTCGCTAATTTCCAAATGCTGGTATCTAATCGGGTTACTACACCATTCGAATTCCTGTATGTGTAAGGATGCTGAATGGTAAAAAGATTTTTTGTGAACACTATTTCCATTCTTTTGGATTCGAGCACATTCTCATTTGTCTCAGTGTGTCATAGTTCTGAAACTTCTCGAGTATATAACTATTTGCTTGATCGATTAGATGCAATTTCAGAAGAGAATCTTTGTTTAGTATCGCAGTAGTGTATCCATATCAGCTGCAAATAAGTTTGAAGATTCAACACTATTAACTGGTGCAGGAGGTTCTGGTAATTCTACGTTGGAAATTAGCATTGGATAGCTAAAGGAAAATTTGGGAATCTAGCTCAGCCATTTACTTCGTCTAAAGTTTGAAGAAAACTAAAAGAATCCGCAAAAATCGTCTTCAGTTTTCGCATCCACAACTACATTGGAGGCTTTTTTATCGGGCTGTACAATACCGAAAGAACGCACTTACAAGGGAGAACCCGAAGCAGGGTTCGGCACAGCTGGCACCAGGAAAATTTCAAAACGAAGTCTTCTTTGCTCTTGAGAATTTCGTACGGAGCCCTTTTCGATCCTGAGCCC